GTTCGAGTTCGTCGTACCCCCAAAAACAAAAATTAAAATCTTTTCGAGGTACGGTTTAAAGGTGCATACATTAATTTGAAATACCGTAAGCTGTTTCCGCTGCTCGACCGACGAACATAAATAGACAACAGCAATACTGAAATTTCTGAAACACAGTTTCCTTCTATTTTAGATGACGAGTGAGTACGGTTGCAACGTGTGCAACGAAGAGTATTCGGTTCAAGACCCTCTGAAATGTCCTCGTGTTCTGACAGGATGTGGACATACGATATGCCATAGCTGTGCCATGATAATCGCCGGTAGAAACATTTCCATTTTCTGCCCATTCGATAGAACATCCACTAACCTTCCCGGTGGTGATTTGAACAATCTGAAAAAGAACTTTGCTCTGCTGGAACTCTTGGAAAAAATTGCTGACACCGGAGGGATTTCTGAAATCGGAGAAGGTGTGCAGAAACACGATCGATATGCAAAGGATAGATTGTTGAATGTGAAGTGTGATGAAGACTCGGAACATGTGGCAGTATTTTACTGTACCGTTTGTGACAGTAACCTATGTGATAGATGCTCGGAATTCACACACTCTACCAATGTTCTCTCGAAACATCGACGAGTTCCTTTGACAGAAAAGCCTGTTCCTAAAGTTTGTTGTCGACTTCATTCATCTTACGTCGTGGAATTTGTTTGCAAGGAAGTTTCATGTGACAACGAGAGCCCCTTAATGTGTCTAATGTGCAGAGATTACGGAAGACATAAAGGCCATTGCCACGTGTTGATCGAAAAAGAGGTGGACGATCTGAGAGAAAAACTTCGAGAACATCTGGGAGAGCTAACCAGACAGTCGGAAATTGTGGAAAGATCATTAAATTCGATAAACTCGACGATTCATGAGCTTACACCCGAAACTGACGATGGAAGTTTGGAGGAAACTAAACAAGAGGCGAGTGTTCGAAACAAGACTTTTCAAAAGTTATTGATTTAATATAAAAGGTTGAAGTATTCTAAATGTCTATTGTTTCAGATTCGCAACCATTTCTACCGCCTCCATTCTACCCTTGATCAAGATGAAATCCATGCACTTGAGACTTTAGACCGCTACGCGCGAAACAGACTCGAAAGTCTTCAAGCTCAAAAAGATCGACTAGAAGCTGTTTCTACAAAAATTGGGTCCACGTGCATCACTCTTCAAAAGGCTTTAGTTTTGGAGAAGGACAATATTCTGGATAGAAAAGATGATTTGTTGGCTTTGGCTGAGTCAACTAATGCCGAACCGACTGAAGTTCCTGATCGATCACAATTGAGGACTAGAATTGCGTTCTCATTTTCAAATGATCGAAAATTGCATATTGGAGATTTTATTGAAGCTCGAGTGGTCTTATTGGGTGAGATAAAAAAGGTTTTCACTTAGTAGAAATTTAAGTTTCAGGACTAGACGGTTCCGGCAAAACCTCTATTGTCCGCCGTCTAAAGAAAGTTCGCATTGACGCAGTGATGGCTCCACATCCGACAAGTGGCTTCAATATTGAGACAATCCATTATAAAAACTATCGATTGAATGTTTGGGACGTCGGAGGTCTTCCTAAATTACGGAATCTCTGGAAGCATTATTATTCAAATGCTCAGGCTATTTTTTATGTTATCGATGGGCATGCAGTGGAAAGATTCAATGAAGCAATCAAAGAGTTAAATAAGGTTATGAGTGATCCGTTGCTGATTTCTTGTCCAGTAATTGTGGCAATCAACAGGAAAGGGTCAGTTTTACAATTTTAGTTTTTATAAAATAGGATTGAAATTTTCAGCGGCGCTTCCTCTTTGAATGGGCACATGGATGTACTCATGTCACAGTTGGAGGCGCTTCCCTTCCAACATGAACTTCATTTTTGCGATGCGGCACAAGGATCAGGAATAGATCAAATACTGGATCAGATAACTGTTTGCTTGAGTCGTTTGAATGGCACATGTCCTGTATAAAATATACATTTTTGATCATAGATTCTACTGTGGTGTTGATCTTTTTTCATGTACATAAAAACTTTGTTTTCGTAAAAATTACATATGGCTAGACCACTGACTACACTCTCTGGTGATCACTGACTTTTCTGGCCTGGTCATTTCAACAATTAGTCAGCCAGCCGCGCAGATCGCACACACAAAAAATCACAAAATAAAGATACGACAAAGAAGAAAAGTGTGTCGAGACTGCACGATATTTGTGTCCGATTGTTTTTAACTGAGATGTTAGGTTGGTATATAAATAAAACGAAAAACCACAGAAGTATATCAGAAAATGAGTATTATTCTGTTGGTTATTACAGCACTGCTTTTTGGTGTTTTGAGGTAAAGTTTTTAGTTATTTGCTGATAAGTCTGAAACGTTTTCAATTCACAATAATCATTACAGTTACTACCTGTGGATTTGGATTTACTGGCGCCGTCGTGGGGTTCCTGGGCCTTTGGGCTACCCAGTAGTTGGAAGTTTTCTTAGCACTATCGAGCACACAAATCCACAATATCTTCAAATTAGAGAATGGACAAAACAATATGGATCCGTCTATGGATACACAGAAGGGACCATGAAAACACTGATAGTTTCTGAAATGGACTTGGTTCATCAATTATTTGTCACACAGTATGATAATTTTTATGGAAGAAAGTTGAACCCAATTCAAGGAGATCCGGAGAAAGATGACAGAGCAAACTTATTCTCAGCACAGGGATATAGATGGAAGAGATTGCGAGCAATCGCTAGTCCAACTTTCTCTAATAATAGTTTGAGGTATGGTTACAACCGAATTTTTTTTTCAAATCATTATGACTCATTTTTACAGAAAAATTAACTTAACCGTGGAAGATTGTGCGATAGAATTGCTGAGACACATCGAAGAACAAACAACTGGAGGAGAACCAATAAATATGTTACAGTAAGAAGTTTAGAATTTTGCCTATCCTAAAGCCTGATTCAAGATTCTACCAAGAATTTACTATGGATGTGATTGGTCGTATTGCGATGGGACAAATTGACTCACAAATGTTCAGGAACCCACTGTTAAACTTCGTGAAAGCGGTAAATTGGGAACTTCTTGGCTAACTTAAATTTATTTTAATTAGATCTTTGCTGATAATCGTAAACACATACCTCTCATAGGAGGTGTCTTCCCAGTTCTTGCTCAAATCTTCCGCTACTTTATGCTGAAATTTCCATTTCTAGGAGCTGCCAATTTTATTCATGTTCATAAAACTATGGTATCAGCAGTTCATAACAGGATTGCCCAGAGGGAAGAAGACAAAAATAATGGAATTGAACCCGGAGAACCACAAGATTTTATCGATTTGTTTTTGGATGCCAGAGCTGAAGATGTGGAACATTTTGGGGAGAGTAATGCGGATTTTTCCAAAAGCAGTAGTTATGTAGGTGTATGTGAGATGTTTCAAAAAATTGTTTTTGCTTTCTATGTAGAACAATCGCCAGCTTACTACTATGGAAGTTGTTGGACAATGCACTGTTTTCTTGATTGCTGGATTTGATACCACTGCATTATCATTGTCATATTCCACATTTTTACTCGCCACTCATCCGGAAATTCAAAAGAAACTTCAAGAAGAAGTTGATATAGAGTGTCCGGATTCAGTGATCACTTTTGATCAACTATCAAAGTTGAAATATATGGACTGCGTAATCAAGGAGACATTGAGACTGTATCCGTTGGGAACACTGTAAAAATGTATTTAAATTGATGAAAAACGTCTGTGGTTTTCAGGGCAAACTCTCGGAGATGCATGAGAGCCACGAAACTGGGTAATGTGGAAGTGGAAGTTGGCACAATGGTTCAGGTAGATACATGGAGTCTTCATACGGATACAAAAGTATGGGGAGATGATGCGAAAGAGTTCAAGCCAGAAAGGTTTTTTTAGCGTTTTTGTTCTATTGCCACAAACCGTATTTTTAGATGGCTTCTCCCGGAGACTGATAAAATATCCCAAAAAGGGGGATACATACCATTTGGATTAGGACCTCGTCAATGTATTGGAATGCGGTTGGCCAATATGGAAGAAAAGATTTTATTGTCACATATTCTGAGAAAATACACATTTAAAACTGGAAAAAAGACTGATATTCCACTGAAACTACACGGAAGAGCCACGACTCAGCCGGAAAGTGTCTGGATGCATTTGGTGTCCAGAAATTGAGCCTTTATTTCTATTGTGTTCTTTATTGTACTCTTAAATTGTTTTCTGAAATGTGTTCTCTGGTTGTTGGTCAATAAAGCTCAATAGTGATTGAAAAAAGGGAAAAAAAAATGATTGCAATGTTGGATACTTGAAAAAACATATTTGTCATACTTGTAACGGGCCGGGCTTTTTCCCGAATTTCGGAGGCCCGGCGGGCCTGTCATTTCACAAATTTTGAAAATTTCAAAAAACACATAAGGGGGGACCCTTATGTGATTTTTTTCGATCAAAAAATTTTTTTCGAGTTTTTTAAAAATATTTTTTGATCAAACAGACAAACAATCCAAAAAGCACAAAAAAAATATAGAAAATTGTGTTGAGAGCTCAAAATTCGACTCAAAATGATAACATTTTTGCTACCGGGCCTTCCGGGCCGGGCCCGGCCTTTGGCGGGCCGGCCCGGAATTTTACAAGTATGATATTTGTAATCCGGACCTTTGTCGAACCTTCGCGGGCCATGCCACAGTTTCTTTCAGATTCAATGTTTTTTGACCAACTAACTTTATCTTGTCTGTGAACAAAGTTACAGACAAAACGTAGCACTCGTCGTGTTCTATCATATCTGATTCAGTTGGTGTGAACATATTGATTCTAAAAGAGTCTGACAGGGCCCGCAAAGGCCTGACGAAGGCGCTGATTACAAGTTTATGAAACAGAATGTTGGATGTTGGATATATTAATTACAGATGCAATAACTGTTCGAGTAGAAATATTTCCGATCATTCAAAAAATTAATGATCAAACTAATTCTTAATGCCCAATACATATTCTCCACTCCGTGATATCATTGCTCTTAATTCGCCTCTCTTATCAAAAATTTGGTTTCTTGCCAACAAGATGTGGAATGAAATTTTCTTTCTTAATTTTCTTCATTTTCCTAACTGATAACTGATAATAGACCGTTTGACTACTTTTCTCAACATTCAAAATTTGAGAATATATAGTTTTGTCTATTTTTTTTGTTGAAAATTGGAAATTCTTATGTTTTCAGATGAAGATTTTCATCCTTTCTTGCCTAACCCTCTCTGCCATTTTGGCTCAACAAACTTCCGCTCCAGGTGGAAATCTGTGCCTTTACACTCCAGTCGGCGATGAGTCCAATCAGAAAGCAGTGCCGATTCAAGACTTCAGAACGTCTGGTTTGGACTTTGTCAGGTAAAATGGTTCTTTGCCGAGCCTCTGAGCCAAATGTTCTTTCATAATTAATTTTTTTGGACAAGCTAAAACAAAAATAATAAAAGTTGACAAGTGCTACAAAATGATACTATTTGAAATACTGTATCTTATCTATGAAGAAAATCCGTCACAATCCCGGATTACAAGTGTATATGGTTTTTAATGTTTAAGCTAAAGTCAAACCAAACGTCTGTTGTGCCTCCGTTAGACCTCCGTTAAACTGGTCAATTCTAGTTGTGGAAAATTGTTTTCAGACCAAACTGGTGTGTCACCCATTGTGCTGATCGTAAATCGGTAAAAGTTGCCGCTCGTTTCCAATTCGCAAACACCTCTCCAGAAGTCCGTAAGTTGTTTAATTTTTTTGCAGTTCAGAAAATACATTTGTTTTGGTTTCATTATGAGACCCACTTACAAATATTGATTCTCAACTACTTCCAGCAACCTACAAAGTTCGTCGCACCTACACCCGCCAGTCGGGAGTGAAGGTCACCGCCGAGTTAACTAGTGGAGTCCCAACCAAGCGCGATGATGATCCAGACAGTGAGTTTTGCGTTCCGATAACCATTCTCATTAACACCAACCGAACCAACAATTCTAGACTTCTGTATGGATGACAACGTGTCTGCACAAATCGATGCTATAGTTGGAAACTTCACTGACATTGAAACCATGTCCGAGGCTCTAAACTACTACATCAACAAGCCAGGATGGGCATACATTATCTATGATGTTAGAACTGAATTCAGAACTTTTTTACTTGAAAAAATAATTCCAGATGGGAGTCCCACCAAGCATCATTGAAACCGACAATGTTAAGCACGATATGAACTACTGTTCCAAGTTCGCCCAAAAGGTATTCGTCATTTCAAAATTTGTGAACAAATTTTTTCATTTGATTTTTCAGCAACTACCTGACGGAACTTGGGGCTTGTATCAAGTATTCGCAGGACTCATCAAATCTGGCAACTAATAATTATCGTTCTGTTGTTAAACAATGTAATGAATATTTGGACATATACAAATGTTTTGACGCAGTCTGAGTTCCTAGCAATTCTTTGAGAATATGTATCCACACTTGTAATCCGGGCCTTTGCCGGTCCGTCGCGGACCCGGCTGTAGTCTCTACCAGCCGAGGCGGTTCGTTCCGTTTCGTCTATAACTTTGTTCATAGACAAAATACAGCGATCCAAATAAAATTTTTTGTAGTACTCGTCAATTTCTATCATGTCTAATTTAATTGGTCCAAAAATATTGTTCATGAAAGAAACTATGGCAGTGCAAGTGAAGGTCCTGTAAATGTCCGTATCAAAAATATGAGAATATCAAGAAATCTTTGAAAACTTTATTGACTTTATTGTGGTTGAAATTTTAAAAAAAACACACAATTTGACATTTCCAGTAGAATCAGATATTTAAGATATTACAAAAGTCTCAAGACGAGGCACTGGCAGGCTCCACCGCTCTTCATGAACTCGCTCATGTCGACCTCTTCAACTTGTTTTCCGCGTGCCGATAGAGCACTCTTCGTGTTTTGAGAGACCCCGATTGGCGAGATTACAGTGTCACGGATAGTGATAGCATTGCACACGAAAGCATTAGCTTCAGCTTCCGAAACTGCAATTGAGTTGGGGAGACGACGAAGAATCTGGAAAAAAATTTTGGGTTGTCAGTAGTGTGTCCTTTCAAAAGAAAATTCGCGAAAAATGTTTTTTTCCGAGAAATTGTTGAAGAAATTTCGATTTCGTTGGCAACGACTCGTTGCTGACATTGTTTTCTCGGGTTTTGGTCATTTTTACATGGTTGCCTAACTTTTGCAAGTTGGGTTTTCTAGGCCACCATTTAGAAATGACCTAGAAATGACTTAACATGACCCTGGTGCGTTTTCTAAGGCATTTTAATGTGGTGGTCCAGAAAACACAACTTGCAAAAGTTAAGCTACCATGTCAAAATTTATTCGTTTCGAAAAATGTCTCGAAGCCGTGTCGTAAGACACACTGATCAACTTTAACCCCTCACCTCCTTGTTAGTTGCATCTGAAAAAGCAGGAGGATAGTAGAGAGAAGTGGTCTCATCAACTGGAGCGAAGCAGGTGTCCAAATGATAGAAGTTTGGGAGAACCGTATCACAGAGAACAATGTCAAATGATCCCAATGCCTTGATTCTCTCATAGACAGATTTTGAGCTACGCTCTCCATACCCAGCCCAGAGGGTTTTGCGATCGGAGAAAACGGCATCACCTCCACCTTCGAAGATTTCTTCATATCCCTCGCCGATAGTAGTAATACCATTTTTCTTGAACCACTCCAGGTATAATGGTTGCTCACCAGTTCTGAAAAATTTTTTGTCGTATATGTCAAAAGCATTCTACTCTGTTTACCTCTCCTTATGTCTAAATCTGGACAAGTATACCTTGTTATCATAGACCAATCCGCTATTACACACAAAGACTTGATCCGGAAGTCCTTGTGTCTGATCCATTGTCAAAACTTGAACACCTGCTTTCTCGATAGCAGACTTCAATGAATCCCACTGTTGTTGAGCCTTCTGCTTATCGACGACTCCTCCCATCCATGGATTGATGGCGTATTCAACTGTGAAGTGTTTTGGTGGAACCATCAAAACGCGTTTCAATATATGAGCGGCAGACTTTGAAGCAGACATGTTGGATTGCTGAAATTAAACAGTTTATGAAACATCGAAATATTGGAAAGGGGTCTATAGCAGCCTTCGCGGGCCCAGCTATAGTTTCTTTCAAACCCAGTATTTCTGAAAAATTGAATCAGATATAATAGAACGCAACGAGTACTACAAAGCGATGCTATTTGGAACATTGTACCTTGTCTATGAACAAAGTTAAAGACAAAACGGAACGAAAAAAACAGACCCGGCTCGGCACGTCCGGGCAAAGCCACTTTATGGCCTGTAATTTCTATCACGTTCTATCATATTTAATTTAGTTGGTCCAAAACTATTGATTCTAAAAGAAACTATGATAGGGCCCGCGAAGGCCCTGCAAAAGCCTGGATTACAAGTATAGACTCTATACTACTCACTTTGGTCATTATGGCTGAAAAAAACCTATTGTTAATTTGGTGATTTGGGAATGTAGAAAGAATGAATAGTCAGTTTCCAATAGGGCTGATAAATATTATCTTATCAATGGAAATTTTTAACTGCGAAACAGTATTTGATTGTTTGATACTCGGATGCGAAAACCAACTGACGTAATATACTTTATGACTTAACAGGGTCAATGACTTTTACTGAGGGCTTTTAAAACATAAATGCTCCAAAATAGTGTCAATTGAAATTATAATTTTAACAGATGAGAGGCTACAACGTAGGTTTCGTATTTTTCTATTAAGTTGATAGCATTCATCTACATCATGAACCTTAAATTTTTACATTATTGAGACCTCTACTTTTTGGAATTTTAAACCTTTTTTGAATTATAAAGAGCCCTAATATCAAAACGAATTAAACTTACATTTTTAAAAAATTGTACAAAATACAAAAACCAAAACTAAATGAATATAACCAATGTCCAGTTTTTATTTACCTTATTTATCTCCCCCACCCACTTTTAATATGTCTCGTATTGTAAATCTTTCATTTTTCGATGGCCTTAATACGTCACCAATCTACTGCAAATTACCCAACAGGCCAGATCTGATCATGAGACAGGTAGTGATGAATTTACAACATCATTCGTTTATCTTATGCTTATCTTATTGATGTGTTCTAGTGATGTTGGGTGCAGATTTTACGAAGTAGGAAGAAGAAAGGAATAATGGATAACGTAGAGAGAAGAAAAAACATCAAGAAAAATAAAAATCAATAAACTGATATGCCATCATCCCGAATGTTATAGGGATGTCTAAAGTTATATTTTATACATGTTGTCCCTTGTTTCTCCATTTCTAATCAATGTATCGGAGAGGGCAAAACCAATTTAGTTTTCAGATTGAAGGAAAAAGTCTGGGTTATGCTTTATTATTTTAAATGAAATTCGACTAATAGGTCGCCCATTTCATTCTCACCATTTTCAATTTTGAAAGCAGTCTTACCTGAATATTATTTTCAGATAGAATCCGTGGCTATTAGAGAACTGTATGATTTTGATAAGTGTTGAGAGACAACCACGCATATAAGAGGAGTAAAATTTCAAAATTTTCACGTTTGAGAGAAAATAATCAAAAAAGAGAAATATTATGTGAATTTACACATTAAAAACTACGATTACAAAAAAAGTTATTTTTAAATGGGAATTTTCTTTTTTTTTCCCCAGAAAATGTAGCTTGAACATTTATTTTCAATAAATCTGGGTTTTCAGGAAAAATCCACATTTTTTTGATTTACTTTTTAACGTTTTAGTTAAAATTAAAGAACAAAAACACAAAATCGTTCCGCAGAACGATTCTGTGAGAGAAAAATATGACGCAAAAATTAAATCACAGAATCGTTCCGCAGAACGATTCTATGAAGAACACAGTTTTAAATAGAAAAAAGAATTTCAATTTTTTCTGCGTGAGCACAGGATTTTTCAAAAAATTCGTTTTGAAACTCCAAACGTGAAAATTTTGAAATTTGATCCCTCTTATATTGAAAAATTTTTTGACGACATTTTTCCCGCATAGGTATGTTGGTTTCGAGGTCTTCACTAATTTTCACAGTCGTTATGGTTCAGAGAAACTGCTCTCTCGCCGGCTAGCTAGCATAAGGAATACAACTATAAGATAGAGATGTTCTGTCCGTTAAATTCAATTGTACATTGGATCTATTAAAATGGAATCTGGCCACCATCTACAAGCTTGTTATGATGATGATAAAAGCCTCTTAGGGGTATAAAATTTTTAGAATTTTCAGGTATGGAGTACTCAGGAATTTAGAATTTTGTACTCCTAAACAGTTTTGTACGCCTATAACCCTACAATTATTATGCTCTCCTAATCCTGTTCCATGAAATTATCAAAGATGGAGAATTAGATGAAAAAATTATAAGAGTCTTGTTCTGATGATTAAATTTTGGCTGTTATACCAAAACAGTCTTCTTTTTGAATTTAACAAAATTTAATTTTCAGGCCTACGAAGGACAATGGATCAATTAGCATACAAAAAATGACAACGAAAACTCATTTATCATCTTCAGCAACCGAAACCTCTTCAACTTAAAAAATAAATCAAAACTGTGGATCTAGGAAGTGAAAAACAAAAAATTCAATCTGTATACTTTGGAAAACATTTTTTTTAAATTTAACTTTTAAATGATCCCCTTCGCAATTTTAAGAACAACTTTAAAATTAATAAAAATAACTCAAAACACATGCCTAACATCTATAACCTGATTTTCTCTGAACTTCATCTATCTTCTAGAACTGCAACAATATTACAAAAAATATTTTTGGCTTCTGTTTTCTTTGTATCTGTCTTTCACTTCTCCTACATACCCAACTTTCATTCTTTCTTTTCGGCTGTTTTCCCTTCTCACAATTAAGTTATTTTTTATCAGAATATTTATAGGATGAAAAAATTTGCACCGATATTGGCTGGTTTACTGTTTCTTGTGGATTACTCAGAAGCAAAAATGTTTGAGAGGTCTGATATTCGAAATCTGGGGGAGTTTTAGTGTTTGGCTTTCAGTTATTCCACTCGAGTGAAACGAAACGATTTCACAAACAACTATGGATATGGTCCATTTGGAATAGGTCCAACCAACGGAGGATTTGATAGTTATGGATTTTACAGAGACAAGTTTTATAACGCAGGACTTCCACCTCTTTATTCATTTGCTTCTTATCGTAACTACTATCACGAGATCTCTTTCCATAAGAACAAGTACGGTCAACCGGCTCCAACAGATTTCGAAGTATTGCAACAGGAGAGATTTGGTGAGTTTTAATCATCCAAGAAAAAATCTATTTCAAATGTCGAAATTTTCTCCGATGAGGGTCATTTTTGTTTTCTCCATATCTACCGCATTTCCTCTAATAAATGACCATCCAAACCGTTAACTTTGAGCTCAATTATCTCGACTCCTGTGAAAGAAATCAAAATTTTGTCGACTTATGAAACATTGGTGATATTCTGATAAATATTTGAACAATTGATAAATTTTTGATATCTTTCTCAGAAATCGAGATATTTAAGCTCGAAGTTGACGGTTTGGGTGGGTTCTATTAGAGGAAATACGGTATATTGTTTCGGGAGTAGACACCACTCTACTGTCGAGATTCAAATGTTGCTTTATGTTTAAAAACACAGGGTATTTATTATGTACACGAACCAAAAATGTACGATTTTCAAAAACATTGTAGAATATTATCAGAAAGTAGAAACTTTTAAATTTTTTAAAAAATTGGGGAAAGTCGAGAAATTGGTTTCTGAATTTCCTTGAAAAAACAATAAAAAAGCGAAAAATGGTTGAAATTTTGAGAAATCTAGAAAAAAAAAAGACTGGAAAATTTTCCGGTTACCATAAAATTTTCTCGGGAATAATTTTCTAAAATTTTCGGGACAACGAGATTCCCGATTTGAACGAGTCTAATAGGTAACTTTATTGGTTTTTTCAGGACCATACTACGACGGAGTTTGGGGATACGCAGATCACTCGAAAAATTGGTTTGGAAAGAAGCGTTGATGCCCTCCTATTCGTGTTCTACTTTTATTCCTATTCTTTTGTATTTTTTCTGAGTTACAGTTCGAGATGAAGATCTGCTTACGCGTAAGCTTACGTGAAGTTTTTTTTGTTTTCCACCTAAAAATAGGTTTGATATGATCTTCATGTCCACGTACTGCCACACGGCATCGCGGTTGGGAACCTGAAAAAAGCCGTGCCGCCAGATGGCTCGACTACAAATCAGTTCTGGGAATTCAATTCAGGAGAGTAAACCATGGGAGTCGAAGTCTCTTTGGATCCGCCCGTCTGCCCAATTCAAGCCAATGGAGGAACTTCGAAGCACAAGATGATCAATCATACTGACCGCCATTTGGCTTATAAAGTCAAATCCTCAAACAACTCCAACTACAGCGTAAACTTGATCTACGGGATTCTTAAAGTTTGTGATGTGAAAGAGCTGATCATCACCAGAAAGGTAAAATCAAAAACCAAAGATTTAGCCATGAGAGGATATTTTCAGCCTGGAAAACCCCATTCCGGGAAATTTTCATTTGTCCGGATTCCGTATTCCGATAAATTTTTTTATTCCGGATTTCAAACATATGTGTTAATTTGCAAGAATTCTGACTTTTTTGAACTTCCGCGACTAAAAATGGAAAAGTATAGCGCGGTCTGGGTTTTTTAGAACTGTTCTGCTCATTTGTAGAACTCAAAATTCCGGACTCCGGATTCCCGACTTTTTTCATTTCGGATTTCAGAAAATTAGTTTCATTCCGTATTCCGCATTCCATGAAATTTTGCTTTGTCCGGATTCCGGAAAATTATTTTATTCCGCATTCCGGATTCCGTTTTTCAAAAAATTCATCCCGACCATCTCTCTGGCCCATACTTTCGCGTCTGTTTGAGTCGTACTTGTAAAGTTTTTTTTTTCAGTTTTACGAAACTTTTTCACCTCTTTAATAGAAGTTCATTTATTCACAAAGAAATTGATGTCAAGAAAAAATATGTTTTATATACTTTAAAAGAATTTTTACAAAAGGCTATGAACTGAAACGGAGCTGTTAAATTATTCTGAGGCATCAGATGAATCTCCATAGTCTGCAGATACCAGTGAAATGGGATTCACGGGCACTGATGTTTCTGCTTCAAGTGTCTTGGAGTCCACTGGCGTTTTCTTCTTCCGAACAATCAATGATGGCACTGTCGATTTCCGCTTGATGCCTAGATTTGATGCAGAAGACAATGTGGAAATTTGATGCAGAAGACGATGGGAAGAAGAAAACGTGGCATTTATTCTTTTGTCTCTTTCAGCTTGCATCGTGGCCTTCAGACGTTCAGAAGATGTCATAGGTACTCCAGATGAGGAACCAGATGGGGATGGCGTGTCAGATAAAGTATTCGGATGATCGAAGATACGACGACTCTCAATTTTATCCCGTGTTGAGTGGAGATGGTCACCATGAGCTGAAAAATACTATTTGCAAAATATTAGCAGTCCTAATAACACTAACTTTTTGAGTTTTTGTATCTTGTCATCATTGATGCCATTCGTCGATCTTCTTCACTTTCTGGTAGTAGTTTGGTTGTTCCAATGGATAACTTTTCGCGGAGATTTGCATCGCTAGCACGGGATTCGTTAAGATATTTCTTTTCGTTCTGGGACATTATTTTGTTTTTTTTAATTTTCACAAAATTCTTAATTCTCACCCGAAATTGTGCTCTTAAATACGAATTGGCTGAAAAATCGTCCCTCATCCTCTCTTGAATCCATTCCAATTTTTCCACTCGACCCTCTTCTCCAGCTGCCTTTTCCTTATCACTCGCCTCATGTTCCTTTTTGAACATAGCATCCGCAGCGAGTTTCTGGGCAAATCCTCGATCTACAGCTCCGACTTGAGCAATATCTGTCGGATCGAAACGCAGCTCCTGGCGTGAACATCCTTCAACCAATTCGTAGTCAAAGTTCTCAAAGATTATCAAATTTTTTATAATTGAAAAAAAATCAAGCTACTTTTGGATCCGTTCGAATGACATAATAATTATCACACAAATGACACTTCATTCGGAATTCGTACAGTGGGGTCGTGTAATACATTCCGCACTTTTTCTTTTCAGCATTGTAGCGGACACCCATTCCGACGTGGTTATGACATCCGAGACACCAGATGTTGAACGGCATTTCAAATCTGGAAATTTTAGGAATCTATTGTTGATGATAATCAATATTTCTACCTGATCACCAGAATTCCCTGATCAATTTTCTTCGCTCGTTCTCTGAGAGCATGAGTTCCATGGTATCCATTGAGGGATTTGTGTGTTTTGTAATTGAAGTCTGGTGGATAATAAAAGTTTTGTCCTTTTCGCTCTCCCATCTGTAAAAAACATAATTACCGTAAAACCTGTATTAGAAGGGTCCCTTTAATAGAAGGGAAACTCTAATAGAAGGGCCTCTGTGAAGAATAATCTCCTTCAAATTGTACCCTGAAATTTTGTGAAATTGATAGATTTCCATGAATTTTGAACGAAATTTGTCGATTTTTCGGTGAGAAGTTTCGGAAAAAAAAGGCCGGAAAAAATAAGGGCCCTCCGGCGGTACCTTGGAACAATAGAAAGGCCGGCCCTTCTAATACAGGTTTTCCTGTATTTGATCATCCGTTTCACACATTTGCTAATACGAAGATATTCAAATAGAGACAACTAAAAATAATAAACAAATAAACTCAAAAGAGTCAGTACAAAATTAACATATTTATTCAATGAAACAATCATTTAGCACCAATCCTGATTGGAGTTGTTTAACCCGCGAAAATAATACAGAAAACTGAAAAAATGCAGTAGAATTTGGCAAAATTTGAGCAAACTAATGAAACATGAAATAAATTAGCAAAAAATCGAGAATTCAGTATGCAACACCGAGCGCATGTGATTCCAGCTCGTTGAACCCAGTCTTTTTCGTCAGTTTCTCGACCATTCCTTTTGATAACTTTGATTTTTCCGTCCTTGTATGCCATACATAGACTTTGGTACACTTCTCAGCCAACGGCTCCATGTTGAGCCGATCGATTCCTAGGTTCTCCAAAAATGTAGATTCCTGATATCCACGTGGCACGTCGAACGAGAAAAGAGCGTTGGGATGCGAGAGAATCAAGGTGACGTTGACTGCGAAAGCTGCCATATCAATCGGAAACGGGCGGTCAGGTTTCCATATCGAATTGAACGAGATTATAGATCCTGGAAAGTCGCACATTTCAATTTATCACATTTTTTGAAAATCTCACCGTTATCAGCGAGAACCGGCGTCTCCACAAACATTCCTCCAACTATTCCTACTGGCCACACTCCGGCGTTATCCACCTTCCTCATCTCTTCAAAAATTTTCAAGTCATAAGTGTTATCATCGTCTCCAAAATATACAACTCCACTTCCGACACCGGACAACTGATTTTGAATCCATAAAAGAGCAGCATTTCTTTGTTCAACACCTCGTGGCAAAGTCCAGTTCGGATCAGTATACTTCATTTTTTGAGCTGATGGTGTTCGCGCGTTTAGATGTGTATATGGTAGACGCGAGCGCTTCAAAATCTCTGCTACAGACGACGTTAAGCTATCAGAATCTTCCACGACGATCCAATGGAGGTTGGGAACGTGCGAGAGAGTGTAGGAGAGACGAGTGAGGTCAGCTTTTTGGGCGGCGCGGAAATGTGTGGGTGTAACGAAGTAGATGAATGGAGTGGATCGATTGACACGTGGCAGTAAGGATATGTGATCTCTGATTCTGCAAAAATGCCATTATCTCAATTGCTTGTATTCTTTTTCAGAATTTATAAACAAAATACCGTAATGGGGTTATTCATGTAGCGAAAGTCTGCACCGAAACTCAATGCAACAGTGTCGCGAAATGCGTTTTGAAATAAACACTTTCGCTACATGAATAATCCCATAAAACCTGTATTAGAAGGGCCGGTACTTCTATTGTTCAAAGGTACCTCCGGAGAGACCCTACTATTAAAAGGACCTTTCAATTACAGAAGTCCTTCTATTTTTCCAGTCATTTTTTCGAATTTTCGTTCAAACTGAATGAAAATGCAAGAAAATCCATACATTTCACCAAAATAAGGGAAGTTTTAGAGTGAAAAAGATGTTTCCCTAAATTTCTGTGAAATTTCGGAGCTTTTGGAATATTTTTTTACTGAAAAGTACGGAAGGTTTCAATTTCAAACCACACATTTTGATGGGGGCCCTTCTATTTTTCCAAGCACCTTTCGGAGGGCTTTCCTCTTAGAGGGGCTCTAATACAGATTTTAGGGTAAACGATAAATTACTGTGTATCAATTTCCTCTATCCGTCCGTCCAATCGAGTTAGCGTTCGTTCTTTTTCGTGGATTTCAGTTCGCAGCATATCGCTCTTCCGTTTCAGCACTTCTATCTGTCGAAAAAGTTTTACTATTTTACTTCAAATGAAAATTACTCACTGTTGCCTGTAACACTGTCTTCTCTTCCTCGAGTCCTTGAACCTTATTAATTGCATAACAAATTTGCCAGATGAAGAATATTACGAGAGCAACGAACGCCCGCAACCACCATTTTTCGAATATTCTTGATGAAATCATGTCGGAAACTCGAAAATTTTAAACAGTCGCATGTGGTCTATTTATCCCTGAAAATTGCGTATTTATTGAGTACAAATTTCGATCGAATAAGGGGATTGATGACGTCTCGGCTGAAAAAAAAATTATAAACCAGCTACCTTAAGTTAAAGGCGCATCATTCAAACTATGATTTGCATCTCATCGCGAGAAAACCGGATTCGAAAAAAAAACATTCGACAAAAAAGATTTTCGTTTTTTTTTGAATTTCTTTTTGTTTTTGAACACATTTCTATCTAAAATTTCAATAATTTTCACAATTTCAAAGAAAATCGATTCTCTTCTCGTTCGCTTTCATATGCTCGGGGAAAGAAAAGACAGGGAGGCGGCGATAGCTACCCTAGGGTGGTGGCTGTCACGTGAGGAAGAGACAATGTGTGTCGCAGTTCTTTCTTCGTCCTCTGCGCCTCAGCGTCTCTGCACAGTCTATACTTTCCTCAATCTGACAATAAGCCCTTCCATTTTCAGGAAAATATTTCGAATAATTTTGTTATTTGTTCAGTTTTTCTTTCTTTGAGTACTCACTCTTTCAGACCCAATAATTCTACTATATTGACAGGTTTGACAGCTGGCTGTCAAAACTGTTATCAATTCAAAATTTCGTTGATTAGCAGATTGACACCGAAATGTGGAAAAAAAAGTATCAAAAATTGTTTTTAAAGTTTTTGTTTTTAAGTTTTCAAGCTGTTTTTAAAGCCCTTGAAAAAGTAAACACAGAATTGTTCTGCTTTTCTTGAGCATGCTCATTAGATTTTGAAAGTTTGTTTAATAGTTCCAAGTGTTCCCACCCTCCCGACCATCCTTCAATTTTCTTTACGGAGGTGTAATTAATAAATGGACCTCCTCCTACTCGATATAGCTGGTACCGACAGACACTGTGTTGTACACACACACGGTCTGTTCCTTCCTTCCGTCCTCCTTTTGCTTTTGATGTGCAATCATATATTCTTCTAGTGATCAAGAGCTATAGTGCTGGCTATAAATATATACAAAACTGTTTTTTTTTCAGTTTATTTTGACCATTTTTAGCAGTCGGACTTCGCACTAACCAAGAATTTGAAAATTCCTAGTTTTTCAGCTACCCTTTTTAACTTCGAAAATGCATCACATATTACCTTAAATCTTTCTTTATAAAACGCTACTTCTATGCCAAAAAATTATGTCCCATTTTGAAAAAAACTCTCCAAATGATAGCCATCACTCCAAATCTTCATCATCCCCAACATATATTTGTCCTTCATTTTTCTCGATGCGCGCGACAAAGTATGCGACAAAGTACCAATTGACCGGGTCACCCTGTTTGTCACCCTTGGCGGATGGCCACCCCACTAACACTCACCCCCAATGGTTCAAACGGATGGCCTGAAGGTTTGAAGAGAGGAGGAAGATGGAATACCTCCTCCTCCCTTTTCCTATATACCACCACTTTCGCTTCCTCTCCCCTCTGCCTCTCTACAATCAATACAGAAAGACACTCGCTTCGAAAAGAGAGTAAAGTCGTTGGGGTGTTCTGCTTGTGTCTGGTGTCTCTATAAGAAGATACGATATTTAGTTAGTTTCAAGGCGAGTGAAGCCGAGAATCGAGGAGAGCGTTGGGGTCATTCCCCACTGCAGCGGATGACGCTTTGAGCCGTTCTGCGTCTCGTAAAAATGGAAAACTTCTGTTTTATATCATGGTTTTGTTAGAACGTCTAACCATTATTTCTGCAAACTTTCGGCTTCTCTATTCGTTTGATTCTAAAAAGTTTATTTATATTTTTCTTCAATTCAAATCGTATTTTCATCTCAAAATATTATTCTATCAAACGATGATTATCTCATAAATTGTACCTGATTTATGAAATTCGCAAATTCTTCGTTTTTTAGCTTGTTTTGCTAATACGCTTCTTCTGATATTTAGTGAATTAGCTTTGTATCTTTGGATAACTAATATGAGTAAGAGCAGTCAGCTGAGCTGAGGTGTCATGTGCCCGTGCACTCGAGTTATTGCCTAAACATATTTCTAAAAAGAAGTTTCTCATAAATTTCCCGAGAAAAAGTTCAACCTTAAATAATTTCTGAATTATTTCCTTTTCTAATTAACTCTGAGGCATGATTTTGTTTGTTTCCATACATCCTAATTTTTATACGTTTGCCATTAACTTCTACACATAAGAGAATCTCAAATTTTAGCATATGAGCTAGATATTCAAAATTCGACAAACAATGCATGCCTCTGAACAATGAGAACAAAGAGAGTATCTGTTATCAGTCGGGTGTCATTCTATATTACTTCGTTTTTCTGTTTCTGCTATTTGCTGATGCCTCTTTCTCTCCTCTCGAAGAGGTTCTACTCCGTTATCAGTCGTTCCCCATACCCACAGCATTCTGTAATTTGAGGGCGAGCGATTGATTATAACTGATATTTGATTAGTAGCGGCTGTCATCGAGTATATGGATCAGATTTTAAGATTACAAGAAGTTCTACCTTCTACCCAATAAATTTTTGCCTTCAACATTTTGAAAAGCTCCTAATTGGCATGCAAATATTCCTCGACTGCGGTGATCTTGTGGTAAAAGACTAGATATCGATCTATTTTCAATCTCTATCAGCAATCTCTTCATCTATTCTTCGCTTCCTTTTCACCGATTCGGGAGAGAATGACATCGGCTGCTTGTTTCCCATTGACTATGTTGTATTGGAATTAGAAAAAGTTGAAGGTTATATTTGAATAAGATTGTTTTTTTCCTGGAGATTAAGAGCGGATATACGACTTTTCGTGTAGTGGATGGAATTTTTTCAAACAAGTTTTTCCTATTGTCGGAAAAAAGTCACCTCGGTGTATGCAGACCCAGTACGAAAATCTGAGTCTTTGCACTGAATCTGCATACACCGATGTGACAGCTTCTTTGATCCGACAATATAAGATTGACATGATATTTAGATTTCAAAAAATGAAATCATTGAAATTTCAGATAGGTTCAAAACCTTTTTTTATCTTACCTAACAAAATAATGACCTGACGCTTTATAAACTCTTCATCGGAGAATCATAAATAATGTTAACTGCCTTGCATGGCATACTTTTATTATGGACGACCATTCGAGAAATAGTTACAAATATGGTTGCTGATACCTACTCTATCTATATACGGTCAGCCATTGCGCAATCATAGATGAATGACCTCTCTATGTCCCTCTCATCTTTAGTGTTATTGACCTGATTCATTGGCAATGTGAGGTTTTTTTCTGATTGCTTGCTCAACTAGCATCTCAGGTTTTCGTTTTTTCCGAATATTTCATAGAAGGCTTGTTTCATATCTTACAGAAAAAAATTTTGATTCGTTTCTTATGGGGTTATTCATGTAGCGAAATTATGTATTGAAATGCATTTCGAATGTATTTCAAAGCATTTCGCGACATAACTGAATATGCTTTCTGAAGGATGGTGCAAATCTTTAAAGGTGCATCACATTTTCCAGACAAAATATCGCGCCACGATATGTATTTCAATGCATATTCTGTTATTGTCTATTCAAAATAATCGCGCGGATGAACAAGTAAAAAACGTGTAGAGGCGCTGTAGAGACGCAGACGTTTTCACTCGTTCACTCGCGCGGGTACCGAGCTCGAAT